TAGTCATAATAGCTATATTGCTCCTGACCTTTGAGACAATACGCTTTTCAGCATAATTGCTGCAGACTCCCCTTGGGAGACTACTATTGTATTTCTGTCCTGCTGTTAGACATCATAGGCCTCTGGTGGGCCAGTGAGGAAACAGGATACTGGGTTAAATATGTCTTTGGTTTATTCAGCAGTGCTTTTCTTATGGTTTGACAGATATGAAAATAAACTCGCACATGAACAATAACCTGCAAATTGGTCACACTTTTGGTTTATATGAAACTCTTAAGATGGCTTTCAAGTAAAATTACCTTTACCACAAGAATTAATTATTTCAAAGCAACAAGTGTTCTTATTCAGATTTACTGGAAGAGGTGGGGGAACTTCCTGATGCAGTATTTCCATCAAACTTTTAATAGGTTTGTCTCCCTTTAGAACTGTAGAAAGTTCTACTTATTACTTATTAATCGTCCTTGTTGATCTTCTCTGAACTCTTTCTAGATCTTGACACCTTTTTTATATTGTGGCAATCAAAACTGGATGCAATATTCCAAGTGAGGGCTTACCAAGATATTATAAAATGATCTTGATTCCATGTAGGACTGCACTGGCTTTTTTAGCAGCCACAACACACTGCTGGCTCATATTTAAATGATTGTCCACTAGAACTCTTAAGGTCCCTCTCGCAGTTACTACTGTTGAGCCAGGTCCCAACTAGTCTATACTTGTGCATTTGGTTTTTCTTGCCTAAATGTAGAACCTTATTTTTCTCACGCACATAATTTATAGAAGTGCAATTGAGATGTGTTTCTATAAATTATTTGTATTATTATGTATTTCTAATACACTTGACAAAAATGACTCTTTTATTTTAGAGCATCTTCCCTGTGATAATAAGTAGTTCTTACACCAGGTGGATGAATTTAGACTCCAGGCTTACATAAAGCTACAACAAGCTTTGAATAAAATTCCAAGAGCCCCTCTGAACTATTATTAAATATATTGGAAGTTTACTCTGCATTAAATCAATGAAAACAAATGCCATGTTTGTTTCTTTTAATTCCCTTCAACATGCCACTTAAAAGGCAAAGGCATTTGCCCTCACCCCCAAACATAACCCGATTTTATGCACTGGTTCAAATTCTTGCATTTGAAATTAGTATAAGGCTAGGTTTCCTAATAAACCATGATCATTTATCACTGCCTGAGCATACAAATTTAGATAAACAGGATCATCTCTGTTTCTCAGGACAATAATTAATTTGTATATTAAATATTTACAACACATTCAATTTAAGTAGATGCTGGAATGAAATACAGTAATAACCATGTAAAAACAAACTATGATGAAAACAATAACATCCCAGTATTGTCTAAATAGACAACTAATATACTGTAAGTTGATGGTGACTTAAAGTTGATCTGAGGTCAATAAGACTAGTTAGAATTAAAATTAATATTTTCAGTCAGCACCAAAATGAAACAATGTTGGTATTAGACTGGCTTCAGAATGTGCTATACCCAGGGTGCTAGAGTCCACACATAATATATTTCAGTAATGTATGAGGTAACATAGCAACACTAATCAGAAGGTCTTAACAAAGTTATTAGTCTTTTATTGATTCCTATTTAAAGGAATCACCCCCCCCCCACTGGAAATGAATTAAATTGTGTCTATTGGGATTCAGGCCTTCTGTGAAAAGAGAAGACTAAACATGGAAAAAGTAGGATTGTAATTCTATAAATGTCTGTTCCAAAGTAAATCCCTTTGAGTTTAATTGGACTTGATGAGTATCGGAATGCATCTTGATTTCATTTAAGTCATATTTTCTAAATCCTTTTCCTGAATTTCTTCGTTCAGAATATATTAATTTTCATTTGTCATTACATAAAAATGATTACACTGATTAAAGACATATATAGGACCATACTGCTTAATTATTGCGGCTTTTTAGGTATATTACCATGGCCACTTCAGTCCTAACAGCAACCAAAATACTTCAGTTGTTTGTGGGTTTTGTATGCTGCTGGTAAAGTCTGAAGAAGTAAAAGTCACCTAAAACTTATTATTTAAGATTTTAGCATACTTTTGTGCTGCAGAGTGAAGGAACAGAAAAAAATGCCATGTTTTATACCGTTTGTATTTTAATTTACTCTAGCATTGCTGGTCAATTTATTTCTTCCTTACTTATTTGAAAGGAAGAAAAATATCCTGCCTTGCCAAAATTATAAATACATTTACTTGTAAGTACAAATCCAAAGCCAGCAGCAGGGGAAGAGTGGGAGAGGGGGTGACTGATTTACAGTAGATATATTATATATTTTTGTAAATAAACAGGAAAGGAGAACAACAATTCATACCTTGCAGAAGCAGAGAATAAATCTGAAATATGGAAATAGACAATTTTCTTAAATTTCGATAATATACTTCTGTGAATAGGCTTCTCTTCTGTACTTCTAATGGGATTAAATGATATCATCTCTTTATCATCTGAATTTTTCTCTTTGCTGTTACTTAGTTAATTGTTGGAGACTGTGCATTCAGTTAACTAGGTAAAGACTTAATGAAGTCGGAAAAAAACAACTTTTGGTGAAACTGTCCAAGAAGCAGTGAAACTCTCAGTGCAGCAGAGATGATTAGTTCCTTTTGATATAATCTTGGTCAGTTTGGTTGAATGCCTTTTCTGCATATTTCTTTTTTTCATCTCACATGATCAGGTTTCATCCAGGTGAAGAGTTCAACCATATCTTTACCTCAGTTATCCCCTCCAAGTTATTTCCCCCTCTTTCCCTCTAGTAAGTCCCTCCCTCCCACTTCGTTCTCTCAAGTCCCTTCTTCAATCTCTTTTCATTCTGGGAAACTGGAGCTACGCATTTGGAAATAGGAGTTTCCCTTATTTAATTTATGCATAAGTTTCAAAAAAATGACAAATTGATAATCTTGCTGACATCATTTTGAAATGGATGGTTTCTCCTTCCTGGTTTATTTAGCTCTAAACTGAAATTGGTAAGGCCACACTTGGAATACTGCATCCAGTTTTGGTCACCATGATGTAAAAAAAGATGTTGAGACTCTAGAACAGTGGTTCTCAACCTTTTTAATGCCGTGACTCCCAACCGGTCATAAGTCAAGGACTACTCAACCGGTTGTAAGTCGAGGACTACTCAACTGGTGCAGCACTGTTTGCAGAATGGGACCTTTGGCGGGCTCAGCAGGGCAGAGACAGCCTGGACAATTCCTGTTGGCTTTTGAAAGCCAATAGAATAAAAGGGAGTAGCACAGCTAAGGAAAAGGGGGAAAAATGGCGGACTGTGTTGTTTGGCGACCCCCGTGAAATGGTTGTTTGACCCCAATTGGGGTCCTGACCCACAGGTTGAGAACCACTGCTCTAGAAAGAGTACAGAGAAGAGCAACAAAGATGATTTAGGGGAATGGAGGCTAAAACATATAAGGAACAGTTGCTGGAATTGGGTATGTTTAGTTTAATGAAGAGAAGGACGAGGGGGGACATGATAGCAATGTTCCAATATCTCAGGGGTTACCACAAAGAAGAGGGAGTCAACCAATTCTCCAAAGCGCCTGAAGGCAGGACAAGAAGCAATGGATAGAAACTAACCAAAGAGAGAAGCAAGCTAGAACTAAGGAGAAATTCCCTTCCAGTAAGAACAATTAATCAGTGCAACAACCTGCCTCCAGAAGCTGTGAATGTTCCAACACTGGAAGTTTTTAAGAAGAGACTGGACAGCCATTTGTCTGAAATGGTATAGGGTTTCCTGCCTGAGCAGGGGGTTGGACTAGATGACCTTCAAGGTCCCTTCCAACTTCATTATTATTATTGTTACTGTTACTATTATTATTATTATTATCATTGTATGTTTCTAATGATTATAAGTTTATCTACACAAATATTTCTCAGCTTAAGACTGCCTATGAATTCTGAGCTTGCTCTATCAGTTTTATTTATCTGTTTATTAAATCAGTACCAGTATGTCCTAGGACAGTGGTTCTCAACCTTTCTAATGCCGCGACCCCATAATACAGTTCCCCATGTTGTGGTGACCCCCAACCACTTATATATCACCAGGTGCCAGGGGCGTGGCCAAAGAAAAGGGGGAAAAAATGGCGGATAGCCTTGTTTGGCGACCCCCGTGAAATGGTTGTTCGACCCCAAATGGGGTCCCGACCCACAGGTTGAGAACCACTGTCCTAGGAGAACCAGCCCATGGCTGCACAGAATGGGTTTCATGAAAAGTAAGCAGCTCACTGTATTGCTTTGGTGCATCTGGATTTGCTTAAAGTCTTTACAGTATTGCTGAGCTGATTGCACTCTACCAAACTTATCCTGGACTTTTTTGCTGCTCCCTTGTTAGCATGAATAGTTCCATTTGCCTCAATGGAAACCAGCATTTTAGCATGCTAAGGTGTTTTTGGACACCCCACGGAGCCATAATGAAACAAGCTTTCATCAACTCAAACTGTATGAGACAACATACAAACAACCACTGTGGCCAAATGTCTCTCCTTCTCTTGCACCTCAGTTTCTGGAACAAATGACTTGACACGGTCGGTCGTTAAAAAATGGGGAAGTTAAAACAGGGTAAAGAAGCTTTAGTGAGTCAGTTAACAGCTGTGGGCTTTGCACTGACTACATCCTGTGTTCTGAAATGAGGGCTCATAATAAAACACTTTCAGATCATGAAGGATTAAAGATACTGGTTCTCTTAGTTGGAAAATATGGTCTCAGTTCTAGCTCCAAAGTACTTTTGTTGTCTTTGGCTTGTCAGATAATGTGCTCTTTTGTATACTTCTGATACCTTAAATTGATGTTGAGAAGCTTATTAGCTATCATATTAAAAAAAAAAAGAATCAACTCTTATTCTTAGGATTGAGTTTCCTTAAACAAGAAATTGGCTTCTTTGCAAGTATAACTTTAATTAGAACTTCTTTCCAATTCAGAACCTGTAATGAACATCTTTTTTGTCTTCTCACTCTTTTCTCATCTTGACTTTAGACATATGAAAATCCATGAGAAGGATGCAACTGGCGCTACAAGCACAACTCCTGCCTCTCCATTGAAACGCAGGCGCTTGTCCACCAAACGAAAATTCAGTCATGAGGCTGAGGCCGACAAGGAAGAGCAGAGTCCAGCAAAAAAGGTCCTCTGGGAAATAGCAAAATAAATAAATAAATAAATAAATCCCGATAGTTGGTTGAAATTAGAGATTATGAATTCAGCTAATCACTTAAAAATGGAAAGAAGGCAAAGTATAATAGATGCACAATTGACAGTTTGTAATTTTAGACACACAGCATGCTTTAGAAGTTGTGCATACTTCTTTTGAAATTGCAGTATACTTACCAAGTGACTAGTCAGGACAAGAAATAAAAAACATTGTGGGTTTTTCTTCAGCTCCTGAAGTTTTCAGCCAACAAGAATCTCTGAAATACACTAAATTGTGAAGATGGCTATTTATCTATGCTGATCTCCTTTATTACCTGAAGAAATGATTTTAAATAAACGATACTGTACAAAATAAACAGTGTCAATTTGGATTATCTCCAAATGTGCTGTGGCCGAATTCATGATAAAATATTAGTTGAAAACCTCTGTCAATATGACACTGCATTGTTTTGAGTTCTGCATTTTGATTATTTGTGCATATTATTTGGAAAAATTTCATTGCTGAGTGTGATTGATTGTGATCAAACTCTTTTTTCTGATAACTTTGAGAAATGAAGTAATTTCCTCCATATGTTCATATTCTGTGTGATGTGGAATATCTCTTAAAGGGATAAATGGAGTGGAATGAGAGAAATCTCCAAACAGGTCAGAAGAGCTAGTTAAACTAAATTACTTTGTAAGGAAATGTTCACATTGCTTAATGTTGAGGACTAGATTAGAATAGATCTCCAAATATATAAAAAAGAAATTCCTGGTTAAATTTTGGATTTATCCTTATAGATCCATTTTGTAACATTTAGCCAAGGGATAAAACAGTCAATTATTTGCCAGCTGAAATTTACTGCTTTCGGAAACTGTTACTTGAATTGTAGCCTGGGTTTGAAACCCCCTCTTTTTTTCTTTTTTATTTTCTTTCTTTTTTTTTTTTACCATGAACAGGTTGTGGAGGAACCACAAAATGGTGAAACTGAAAAAAGGGCTGATGAAATTTATCGATGTCCAGTGTGTTTCAAAGAATTCTCTTGCAAGTATGGGCTAGAAACCCACATGGAAGTACATCCAGATACCTCACTGAGGTAAGAAGAGTGCAGTTGAGATAGTTTGTGGAACAAAAAGATATTTCATGTTGATGTTACATGCAGCAGATTTGAGACTCATTTGAACTTGGTGGGACCTGTTTCTAAAGAAATGGGCTCTGCAGGCATTTTTTTTTTTTTAGCATTATTATGAGTCTTCATTGCAGTTACCTTTACTTTCTATCTTAAAATACATCTTGAGAGGCAAAATTTTGGGCTGGGGAGTTCTGGAAGTCCATACATCTTAAAGTTGCCAAGTTTGGGAAACAGTGGTTTGGATAGTGTGATCTTTGTGCAATCACGTTCCTGTGAATGTACTAACCTGTTCCCATTTCTATTCTCTAATCTACGTGATACTATTGCACTCAAATTATAGTGTGATGCAAGGCTGGGAACTAATCTAACATATTATAGAGTATCAATCAGTAGTTGAGAGACAGGTCTAAGATGTGTCTCTCAGTAAGTCTCTTTGTGGCATTCACAGACTGAGTTCCCATAACATGTAGCTCATGCTAAAAATGAGGTTTTTGAAGTGCAGATGTTGTAGGAACTTAGCTGTTCTTTTAGCAGGGCATATGAATCAACTTGCCACACGTTATGATTTAGCAGTTTGTGCCTAAGCTGTTAATGTGAACCTGGTAACTATTCTGTTACTTTGTTTGATTTAGGTTGGAACGTCAACTTGATCACTTGTAGCATTATATAATTCTTCTAAGTTTCCACTTTCTAGTTGTTTTTTTTTATTAAGTCGGTTCTTGACAATAAAAAACATTAAAGAATTCTCACATTTGAAAGTACCGCGTGCAGTTTAATTTAATCCATCGGGTGTGCCTAATGTAACCTGCCCCCCACAGCAAAATGCTTGCTCATATGTGTATGCTGATATATATCGTATATGCCGGCGTATTAGGCGACCTGGCGTATAAGACGACCCCCGTCTTTGGCGCCGAGTCGCATTCCTAGAACGTCATCTTATACGCTGGAAACTACCAGTATTTCCAGCGTATAAGACGACTCGGCGTATAAGACGACCCCTGTCTTTGGCGCCGATTTTAATGCTTGCGGAAGTCGCCTTATACGCCGGCATATACGGTATGTACTGAGTGCACACTTCCTGACTAGAAGCACCTTTTCCTGAAAACTAACTACTTTATGCTCTTTTGATAAAATTAATGAAATGAAATAGATCAGCAGTATTGACACAGTAAATCTAATGTTGAAGGATAGCAAGTCCATAGTAATTTATTTTTACCTGGCATCATTCTGTGAAGCCTCCCAAAATATTTTTTGACAGAATAAGCCCTTGGGATTCAAGAATTTATTGTGCAAATCAATAATGTCTGAGGAGTGGCTGCTAGTCCTGCCTTTGTAACTGCAAAGAGAGGCTGTAAATGATCAGGCTGATTCAAACCTATTCTGCTACTGTCAGATTAGCAAGCAAATAGGAAGGGGGGGGGTGATCAGTCTGATACTTGGTGAGTGAGCAATACACCATTGTCTTGTGAATGTAAATGTAAATCACAAAACACAAGCATTGCTTAGGTGAGAGACTTCTCTCTTGAGGGGGAGGGCAGTCTCTTTTGATGATGTGAAACCTTTAAATTATGCATTTTTGATAGTTGCCTCTAAGGGCAGGTCTCTCAGTGGAATGCTAGGTGTGTGTCTGTATGCAAAATAATAGGGTCCTTTGTTGCACTGACAATCGACTGTAAATGAGGCGCTTACCCTAGAATTTACTCTTCAGGTCTAGACTCTTGTCCTATTGAAACAACCTGAAGCTAGCTGCACTGGCTAGTTAGGGCAGGGGGCATTTCTGACTGATGTCTTCTAGGGACCATCACTAGGAGGTGGGCATAACACTGCCCTTTTCATCCTGGCTTCCCTCCTGCTAAGATTAGTTAAGACTCTAGTTTTCTCTTCAGTCAGGCCAGCCAGCAGGGCTCCAGCTATTTTGGTGCATTTATATAGGAGCGATGATATAATTAGCAGAGCTGGGAAATGCCACATGGCCGCCAGTAGGGAAAAACAAGCAGCCCTTTTCACATGTTGGATTTTTCTCTTCTGAAACTTCCCCATGCCTGGTTTGGTTTTCTTACCGAACCTATAAATGTTACTTCCCCTCGGCGTTCAACAGCTTCAGCAGTAGCAAAACTAAATTACTCAAACAAGGCCTTTTGATGAACGAGGATTTAAATCATAGAATCAAGATTAAAGCACCTAAGATTATTCTGTGTAGGTGGATGGCTGTCTAGCAACTGTTTAAGCACGTCCAGCAAATTACTTTTCCAGTAACTTGTTCTCTTGTTAAACTTCATTTGTCGATTGAAAGTGTTTTTTAACATTTAGTTGGACTCTCCCTTCAGTTTAAATCCATTATTCCACATTATCTATTTTTTTAGCAATGGAGATTAAGAATTGGTTTTCTTCTGAGAGAGAGAGGGGGGAGAGGGGGGGAGAGAGAGAGAGAGGAAAGAAAGAAAGAAAGAAAGAAAGAAAGAAAGAAAGAAAGAAAGAAAGAAAGAAAGAAAGAAAGAAAGAAAAAAAAAATCACCAGCTGGCTTTCATGGCTAAAATGAAACTTGAACTCACTTTTACCTAAAAAGATTCTTGTTCTCTGTTGATCCTTGTTGCTTTCTCTGAACCTATTTCAATTTCACTGAATGCTGCTTAAAGTGCAGTGCTGGGGTCTGGAAACAAAACTCAGAGTGAGATCTGTCCAGTGTAGAAGTATTTTGTCCTGTGGTTTGGAAATTATACTTCAGTTGATGTAGTTTAAAATTGCTGTTGCTTTTTTTTTTTTTTTTTAATTTTTTACAGCCATCTCACACTGCTGAGTCATACTCATTTTTCAGCCATCTGCTCTTTAGAAAACTTCTTCACACCTAACATTGCTTAACTTGATATCCTCTACCACAGGGGTGTCAAACTGCCGGCCCATGGGCCGGTTGCATCATGCGGAGGCTGCGCCCATCCCAGCTCCAGCAATGCGAAAAAAGTCACGATACGCTTGCGACACGTCATGTGACGTGGCAACTTTGACACTTGTGCTCTATCACAGGGGTCCCCAGCTTTGGCCACTTTATGACTTGTGGACTTCAACTCCCAGAATTCCTCAGCCAGCATGGCTGAGAAATTCTGGATGTTGAAATCCACAAGTCATAAAGTGGCCAAGGCTGAGGACCCCTGCTCTATCATATTTCTGTTCAAATTATTTTGGCTCTCTACATGCATTACTTTCAAATTTGTCTTTTAAAAATTTCACTCAATATTTCAGCCTTTTCTTTATCTCAGGCATGTCAAACTCGCGACGTATTGTGACTTTCCCCCCATTGCCGGTAATGGGGTGGGCGCGGTTTCGGTATGATGCATTTGGCCTGCGGGCTGGCAATTTGACATGCCTGCTCTACCTTATCAAGTTCATTTCTGCATTGAATTTTTGTTTTCTTAGGGTGCTAGGCATCCCTTCCATTTTTGTGTCATTTGCAAATTTGATCAGCATTTGCTTTATTTCATCCACTTCCTTAATAAAAACTTGTTCAAGAATTCAGGACTCATGACTCCACTCATTTGATTAAGAAGAATTGCTCTTTAAGTATGATTTTTCAAACCCACTTCTATGAACAATTTTGTTCCATGTGATTTAGTGTGCCTTTAACTAGATTGCTAGTCAGTATGTCATGAGACATTAAGTGCTTTGCTGAAATTAAGATTTGTCTACAGCAGTCTGGTAAAGTAAGATGGGTTGTTGTTGTTAACAAGCCCCTGATGACTTCTGGCAATCGTTACATTGTTTTTAAAGCAGACCAAGATCAATCTCTTTGTGGTCTGTTTTATAATCTTCCCAGGCATCAGTATCACATGGATTGCTCTGTAGTTCTTTGAATTTTCATTTTCCATCCTCCATTGCCTGATACTTCACCCCTTCTGGATTTCTGGAATTTAATTCACAAAAGCTTGGCCAAATCCTCAGCAAGTTCTGGGAGTACCCCAAGTGGCAATTGAAACGGCTCTACTTAAGTAGGTGTTGTTCTCTGTCTGTGTTTCTGTCAGTGTCAGCCTTCGATCCAGCTCCTTCATTCTGCTTTTCAAAGTTGCCTAGGAGAATAGAAACCCTCTTGCAGGAGACAACTGAACAAAAATACAAGTTAGTTCCATTCTTATTTTGTCTTTCCTCGACAGCCAGCATGCCATGGTTCTTACGTTTCTGTCCATCTTCCTATCTACCCCTTGTCTTCATAATAGCTCTCTGAGAAGGAAAAACAGTGATTGGTTCACAATCATCTGTTAAACCGATGTTTGGTGGAATGTTAGAGTATATAGCATTGCACATAATTCTTGAAATAATTTAAAAAAAAAAAAACAACGGCTGAAGGTAAACCTCTGCAGGATTCCTGGCATCATTGCTTTGGTGTTAGTGACGTGAGATTGGGGAACTCAAAGCAACTTTGTGTGCACTGATGACAGCCCTTCACACTAAGTTCTCTAATGTATGGTATTAAAAGTCTACCTGAGTTTAAAAGGGGGGGGGGGAGGAAAAGTGGTAAGAATGTGTCAAAGCTAGTTTCAGATATTATGGTTGGTAGGAAATACATGTGGAGACCTAGGGTTAGATCATTTTATCACATTCTGCTTCCTGAAGGTTTGGTGCTGAAAATATGATGTGAATAAGCAGGGATTTTATAATCAGTGACACTTTCAATACAATTAAGCAGAGAGAGAGAGATGAGAGAGAGAGAGAGATACCAACTTTGATGAATAAGAGCTTTTAGATCTGAATGGAGTCAGATCTTTATGAACACATAAGCCTGTGAAGTGAGCAGCTAAGTCTGTGACATACGTTTACTTTTTTGTTTGTTTCTTTTCTTAACAAATATTGACTCCTTTCCTCCAATGTATATCTCCTGCCCTGCCTCCTCCCTGTTCTGTCCTCTCACCAATTTTAAACGTGTATAAACTTGCTTAATCTCTTTTCAGACCCTGCTCTTTCAGCTGCTCCTCGTGCTTTATTTGTCAATCTCTTCCTTGACCATTATCAAACATTTCCCTGGGAAGGCTCGACTTTCACTTCAGCTGAAAGCCATAATAGTAATCTCAATTTGAAAATGCCAGTGTGCTCTGAGAAGTTTCCAGAGCTTCCTGGTTGCAACCTAAAAGGAAGGGCAAGCCTGTTAGGCAGGATGAGGAATATTATTTCCATACAGCAGCTGGTTTGATATACTGGGGAATTAATTTAGTCCTGTAGTAGTATAGAACCTCTTTTTCTTGCAGCTCATGATTGTGTTTATAAGCTGTTGAATAACAGTTGTCTTGTCCCACTATCTGTTGGTCAGATTGTCATCCCTGGCTCTTTTCCTTCAGTATTAATGCCAGCTCCTCTAGTGCCAGTAACTGGGGATTAATGCAGCTGTTTGATCCCATTTCTCAGAGACTTCTGGGCAAAAGACTGGGCTGGGGGTTGTCCTGAAAGGCAAGCTGTGTGGTGAACTGCTAATGTTAACAGAGACATAAACCAGTGCACACTTAATAAAGGTGAACATTGAAATCGTTTCGTTTCAACGGTGAATTAGTCATTTGCCTTTTACTTCAAAGCTGTTTTAAAATTCTCCCAATCTCTTCTTAAAGTAGAAGCAAAGGGGCACTTGGGGTTCAGAAAATAATTTTTATGGTGATCAGGAAGCTTCCGCTTGAGTATTGGTTAATGTAAACAATTATGTACAGTTCAGATTTATAGCTTTTTCTCCCCATGGCTAAAAGCTGGGTCTCTTCTTCTTCTTCTTCTTCTTCTTCTTCTTCTTCTTCTTCTTCTTCTTCTTCTTCTTCTTCTTCTTCTTCTTCTTCTTCTTCTTCTTCTTCTTCTTCTTCTTCTTCTTCTTCTTCTTCTTCTTCTTCTTCTTCTTCTTCTTCTTCTTCTTCTTCTTCTTCTTCTTCTTCTTCTTCTTCTTCTTCTTCTTCTTCTTCTTCTTCTTCTTCTTCTTCTTCTTCTTCTTCTTCTTCTTCTTCTTCTTCTTCTTCTTCTTCTTCTTCTTCTTCTTCTTCTTCTTCTTCTTCTTTTCTGCTAAAAACTAACTGTTTAGGCCTAGAGTACTGCATGCACGACAGTACCTGGGCACATTTCAAGAAAAAAATGAAGCATTTCTCTGTTGCTTTTGCTTTCAATCTGAATAACCTTAACTAGATCTTTAAATCTGCCCACTTAAAAGTTATTAATTTGGAATTGGATTTAGGAATGTAAAATAACCTAAGACTTGTGCTATCCTTCACAATACTCATTTATCGTTATCAGTTCACTCGTTCATGTGTGACTCTTAGGGGAGATGGATAATAAAAATACCTCTGCACGTACAACAGAATGCCTTCCTTTGACCCCAGAAATCGCAAGAGACTTAAGAGTGTTCAAGTCCTCTTTTAATATTCTTTTTGTGCGGTAGCTGACACAAAGACTTTCAAATGTAATCTTGTACACTATTGCAAAATGCTGTTTGAATGCTTGGTGCAAGGGAATTTATGTTTTGCCTACATGTAAATGTGCTGTTACACAAATCTGAATCTTGGTGGACAGCTTGGTTTTTTTATTATTGAAAAAGAAGTTAAGTTCTGTTTGAAAATAATGAAGAATGTTAGTTTTCAGATGTTAATACCAGTATCATAGTTTACATCAAACTGTCCCTGAAGAACAGCTGGAAAAATGCCTTGCTAGTACAGCAGCTTTAGTTGTCACTCTTGTTAGTCATTCTACTTTAATTCCTCTCTCTGCTTCAATCTCTGCTTTATGTAGCTATCCTGTCTGTATTTAGCTTGACATTGTGTGTGGGGTATTCACGTTAAGATTGCAAGCTTTTCATTTTCTCTCTTCTTTGATATTATGTTCAAAGTGTTGTCATATGTTTTCTCCATTGACACAATCAACTTCTTCTGTTTAAAAGGTACTTCTTTAAAATTCATTAACAAGCGTCAAAATTGGTCATTAAAAATATCCACAAATGCTTATGAATAGCCTGGTTTTAATTATATTCTTTTCACGTCTATTGGAAGAATTAGTAGTAGAACTCTGTACAAAGTTGTTTAGATTTCCTGGCCCTTATTGCAGTTAGTATGACATTGATTCCTCCCGTTAATAGGATCATAAAGTTGCATCAAATGGTATTTAAACTAATTTATCTATATTCTTAGTGTGAACAGAGACATCTCACTGCTCAAAGTGAAGCCTAAATGTGAATGAACTTATTAGGCGCAACACTTTGATACAGATATTTGGGAGAATTATACTAGTAATCTGAAAAGTCATCCTGGATTAAGATTTCTGTGGATGTACTTGCAAAGCTGAAGCATTGTGTTTGGGATGAGTTTGTAATTATTTTTTCTTGGTCCATCTGAGCATTACTGTGAAAGTGAGAGCCCCCCTTTTTACAGTGTGTTCGGTGTGTCTCTATCAACTGAGAGGAAAATTGGTTAATATCTCCCTGGTGGTTTGCTATCTTCTTCTGGCTAGCTGCTGTTACATAGTTTATTGCTCTTTTCTCTATAATGGCCTCATTCCAGCTGTTTGATTCTCCCAACTGAGATTCACAGGAGAGACCTTAAAAGCCCAAAGACTATTTATCTGTTTTTCTCTTTCATGCCTTTGGAGTCCACTCACAATGACCCTTATTGTTTTTGGGGGGAGATGTAGAAACAAGGTCCTGGAGAGTAAGTGGGAGGTCTTGGGAGGAACCGTGTGTTGAAATGAAGTGTGTCTGATTGAGGTTTTTGGGGTGACTACGTCTGTCTCTGCTAATGTGACTTCAGGTTTCCATCTGCAATCATGGCAACAGGTGTTGAGTTTAAGATGCTGTTTTCTGACCTGATGTGATTGGATTCACATAAAACATTGCACCATTAAAACGAATGGATTTAACATTTGGTTGATCTGTTAGAGGCAGGAACAATACTTGGTGGGGGTCAAGACAAAATTCATATTTTAAATTAAAACAAATTAAAATTAATTGTAAATTAATTGACATATTGAATACAGTTACTGTGATTTCTCCCTATTTTTTTTTAATAATTTGCATCCTACATCATATAAACTTCACAATATGGTAACCACTTTTAAAATCGTTCTGAGCATCATCCTCAAAGTTTGACAGGACTTATATATAGCCTGGGGATTCACATATCATGCTAAGTCAAAGCCAGCAAACCTGGTTGGGAATTGATCATCTTGGTTATCCAGAAGCAATGGTTACTTGCCTTGGTTATAGGAACTTTTTGACATCTGATTTTCCATTATGATACTAGCTCTGTTTTTACAAGGAAAGAGAACGGCAAGAAACAGTGTTCTGTTTGGACTGATACTGATGGTGTGATTGTGTGTCTTCCTCATAAGTAATTATGCTCTTTTCCTCCTCTCTAGGTGTGATGTCTGCTGTATTACCTTTCGCACACACCGGGGGTTGTTGCGGCATAATGCAGTTATTCATAAACAACTTCCAAAGGACTCAACTGGAAAGCCTTATATTCAGAACAACCCTTCGATTCCTGCCGGCTTCTATGATTTGGGCTTCACAGACTTTTCTTGTAGGAAATTTCCTCGCATTTCTCAGGTGTTTGTTCATTTTACCTGGTTGTTTGTATAATATCCATTACTTTCTTTTTCTATTTAATTTAGAAGAGAATTGGGAGCTAAGCATCTGGAGCATCGGTCTCTTAGAATCAGTTTCAGCCGGCCTCTTCCTGAGGGAAGCCTTAGTTAAAAATACAGGGGCACAAAAACTGGCTGCTGTTGGCCTTTGGATTTTGTGGATACTCGATGCTTATGTGTTTCCTTGTCATGTCTCCTAGGTTTGGTGTGAGACGAACCTGCGGAGATGCACCAGTGATTATCATCGCTATATCTGTGAGGTATGCAACAAGGCATTCCCAATGCTCTCAGCACTCAAGCTGCACAAAGACACCCATGCCACTGATCATGAAAGAAACGTGCGCAACCTGCAGTCAGAGGACGCAGACCTAAAAGCTTACATGGCATCCTTGGGGCTGCAGCATACCAAAGACATTGAATCTGTCAAGCAGGAGGCGCTCGTGCCAGATGATGAGGTCCAAGAAATGCAGCTACGAACACTGAAATGTAACCTACCTCAGGAACCAGGAAGCGATAACCAGTTGAACATATCCCCTCTGGAGGCTGCTTCTGTGGGAGGCCCCTTTTCAGTCCTTCCCCCTACAAAAGAAAATATGAAGCTACTCTCACTACAGCCTTTCCAGAAAGGCTTCATAATCCAGCCTGACAATAGCATTGTTGTTAAACCCATTTCGGGTGAATTAGCAGATATCCAGCAGATCCTAAAGATGGCTTCCTCAGCGACTCCACAGATCAGCCTTCCACCACTGCCTAAGGCATCGCATATCCCCATCCCATCCATATTCAAACATATGCCTCCACTGAAGCCAAAGCCATTGGTAGCCCCCAGGACGGTTGTAGCAAGTTCAACACCACCTCCATTGGTCAACACTCAGCAGGCTTCTCCAGGATGCATCAGCCCAAGCCTTCCTCCAGTACCACCCAAAATGGTCAAAACCTCTGACCAAGAATCAACTGCAGATTCTTCTGTCACACACAGTAAATCCAGAACAAACTCCAGCCCTTCTCCCCAGGCTAAGCCAGAATCTTTGGGTCAACATGAAATGAAAACTCAGCTGGAGCAAGACAGCATCATAGAAGCCCTTTTGCCTTTGACAATGGAGACAAAAATAAAACAAGAGGTGACCGAGCGGGACTTCAAGGCCATCATGATTGGAACCGCAAACAAGAAGACCCCAGCTATGAGGAAAGTTTTGTATCCGTGCCGTTTTTGTGAGCAGGTGTTCCCCTTCTCTGGAGTCTTAAGAGCTCATATCCGTTCTCACTTGGGCATCTCCCCTTATCAGTGTAACATCTGTGACTACATTGCAGCCGACAAGGCAGCACTGATCCGGCACTTGAGGACGCACAGTGGGGAGAGGCCATACATCTGCAAGATCTGCCACTACCCTTTCACAGTGAAAGCCAACTGTGAAAGGCACCTGCGCAAGAAACACCTCAAAACAACCAGAAAGGACATAGAGAAGAATATTGAGTACGTGGCCAGCAATGCAGCTGAGATGGTAGATGCTTTCTGCTCCCCAGACACAGTGTGCAAATTCTGTGGGGAGGACCTTAAGCATTATCGTGCCCTCCGTGTCCACATGAGGACACACAGCAGCTGCCAAAAGAAGAAGCCATTTGAATGTAAGGAGTGCGGCACGGCCTTCTCAGCCAAGCGGAACTGCATTCATCATATCCTCAAGCAGCATTTGGACATCCAGGAACGGGAGATAGAGAGCTATGTGCTGGCCGTGGACTGCACTCCTCCAGAAAGCCAGCCTGACCCTGTGTTACTGGAAGAAAGCACTTATCTGGATTGCAAATCTGTGTCACCTTTCCTGGAATCGCAGAATGGCTTTTTAAGGGGGGCTCCCGCTCATGCATCGATCAAACTTGAAACTGCAAATAACTTCCCAATGGATTTTGATGAGCCTTTAGATTTCTCGCAAAAGAACAAAAACCTGAATTCTGTACTGGTCAAGCAAGAGAACCCGTTTGGGTCCTCTCTCTACGACAGCTCCATGGAGCCCATTGATCTATCAATTCCCAAGGCTCCAAAAAAGGACAGTGATGATAGTAGCATGAGTGAAGATAAGAAGCAAGAGCTCCATGACGAGAAACTCCAGGACTGTCAACTGTCTCCTCCAGCTAACGGCAATCTGGAAAACACAGCTCTCAGACATTCCCAACCACTGAAGGGACCACTTCATTTGACCGTCCCAATAATTTCTCCAGGTGTCTTGGGGAACTCGGTTTTGTTGAGGCCTTTGAGGCCCAAACCACCGCTTCTCTTGCCAAAACCTCACGCAACGAAAGAGCTGCCACCCCTTGCTTCCATTGCACAGATTATTTCATCTGTGGCTTCTGCGCCTGCTTTACTCAAAGCAGAAGGCGCAGACTCTGTCCCCAAGGTAGCCATTGGCAGCTCCACCAGCTCTGAAAAGTTAGGAAATCCCAGTCCTAAAACAACTACCCTAGCCACTGTCCAGACGGATACCAACACCCCCAGTGACCTAACGAAGAGCACCAGCAGTCCAACGGGGTCCCAGAAATCCTCCACGTCTGGATCAGTAAAGAAAAGAGGCAGAAAGAAAGGCACAAAAAACAAGCCAAAAGCAAGCAGCGGTCTGGACTTGGAATCAAGTGGGGAGTTTGCCAGCATAGAGAAAATGCTGGCAACCACAGACACCAATAAATTTAGCACATTTCTACAATCAACTGCAGACTTTAAAGAAGCGGCTGATAAAAACGGAGCTAGCGAGGAAGAGAGAGAGGCTGTTGAAGACAAACTCCTCCTGCGTGGAAAGCGAAATGCCTATTCAAATTGCATTCAGAAAATCAAGTGCCCCCACTGCCCTAGAGTTTTCCCCTGGGCAAGTTCTTTGCAGCGGCACATGCTCACTCATACAGGTAAGAGAGCTCTTACAAAATGGCTGGGGGTTGGGAACGATCAGGATGTGCTCATGGGAGTTTTAGTTGAGTGACCAGGAGGGATGTGACTCTAGAGCAGGGGTAGGCAACCTTGGCTCTTTTATGACTCGTGGATTTCAACTCCCAGAATTCCTGAGCCAGCCATGCTGGCTCAGGAATTCTGGGAGTTGAAGTCCACGAGTCATAAAAGAGCCAAGGTTGCCTACCCCTGCTCTAGAGGGAAGAGCATCATTAATTCTTTACATCCAAAAGGGATTGCCAGGAAAATGTGCCAGCTTTAACTGTATTGATAAGTTTACCCTGTATTGCGCCATTCTTGGGACATCCTGTTTTTTAATTGGGAAACTGCATTATATTTGTGCACCATTTATTTATTTGGTAAATTTATATAGCTGTCCATCAGTTATACATCACTCTGGGTGTTAAAAGGAATAGAAACAAAGGAAAGCAGGGCCTGGTGATGAAAAACTTCAAACATAATAGAACAGCAGCAGAAAATAAATTAAACTACACTCAGTCAACCAAACAGCATGCTCCCCTCCCCACTAGTTGCATGGATTAGTAGCAGTTGACCTCGTACTACAGGGTTGACCCTTGTACTTGTAAGATCAAATCTTGATTTACAGCCCAGTTTGCTATTTTGGGCCTGACAGGCTCTGATTTGCTGCATCCAAACAGGGTAGAGTGCATTGGGGGTGGGAGAAGCCAAGGCTCATGGCTACAGTGCCACACTCTGCTGTGGCAACTGGATCTCTTAACCTCTTAACTACTGGTCTGAGTATAAAGGATTTTTTTTTTTTTTGACAAGAGGCAAAACTGGAAGGTCTCTACGCAGTGTTTCCCAAACTTGACAATTTTAAGGCATGTGGACTTCAACTCCCAGAATTCCACAGCCATCGTTGCTGGCTGTGGAATTCTGGGAGTTGAAGTCCTCATGCCTTAAAATTGTCAAGTTTGGGAAACACTGGTCTACAGTGTTGCAGAAGAATCACTGTGTCCTAGAATCGTTCTGTAGAATCTTTTAGATTGGTGAGGATTTCTGATTTAAATTCTCCCTTCCTGTCAATTAGAGTAGCTATAAAGTTTTGACTCTCATCCACTCTGTATCTTAGTTTCATCAGGGGTGTAGAGATCATGGGAAGTATAAGCCAACGTTATCTGAAAGATCCAGGTTGGGAAAAGCGGGGAGAGGAAGAAAAGAAACAGCAGAAGGGAAGAGTACATCTTCTTTTTTCCTGCTGTCAGATGTGTTTGCCTTATCTGTTTTTCCATTTGCGAGGCTTCAACATTGCTTCCTCCTACACTTTAACCCAGTGGAAAAAAGAAAAACATTGAGCAGCATTTGGAATAGCTATAGAGGAAAGAAAGCCACAATGCTGCTCCTTTCTGCTCCTCCTGTTTTCATTGCCTTCATTAGAAGTTGCTTTTCATCATTCTGAAGCAGAGGTGGCAAACCATGGCCCCTTTATGACTTGTGGACTTTAACTCCCAGAATTCCTGAGGCAGTATGGCTGGCTCATGAATTCTGGGAGTTGAAGTCCACAAGTTATAAAAGGGCCCTCGTTCCCCACCCTGTTCTGAAGCAACTGCTGACAGAAACTCGCATTAACTTTTAATATCTATGACAGGGGTCTTCAAACTTGGCCCTTTTATGACTTGTGGACTTCAACTCCCAGAATTCTTCAGCTGGCATGCCTGGCTGAGGAATTCTGGGAGTTGAAGTCCACAAGTCATAAAAGGGCCCTCATTCCCCACCCTGTTCTGAAGCAAACTGCTGACAAAAACTTGCATTAACTTTTAATATCTATGACAAGGGTCTTCAAACTTGGTCCTTTTATGACTTGTGCCTGGCTGAGGAATTCTGAGAGTTGAAGTCCACAAGTCATAAAAGGGCCAAGTTTGAAGACCCCTGATCTATGATGTGTGTTTACAGAAAATTACTAAAAAAAAATCCTCCTGCCCCATGTAAATTATCTAAGATTTGCTCTCACTCAATGACTAGACTTGCTCTGATTTTGATGTATCCAATTCTTGAATTGAAAGCCAGAGCGAGGGGGGAAAAAAGGCTTTCTATTGGCTCTCCCTAAACATAGATCAAAGGGAGAAAGAGAGATATGTCTACTTCCTTCTCTGTCTTTTCTTTATATAGGTCTCTATTTTAATAAACGGCATCAGAGCCTTTTGTTTACTTAAACTTCCAAATTTTAAGATATGGATCTTTCTTCATTACATTTGGCTTTCGTAAAAGTAAAAAAAAAATCATTAGTGTGGTTAAGGATGTGTGAAAAATATGCTAACTAGCTTTTGTTTTTGCAAATCTGTTTGCACTTAAATATGTCCTTCAGTTCCTATGATTCATATATTGCTGGCGAATGCTGTTTGTAAACTTTATGAATAATGTTATATCCTTTCCCACCTATCCTCCCATACTTTTTACCTTGCCAATTTACATATATTCCACCATCTTATTAATTCTGAATTCAAACAATTGATTTCTGCTTTGATATTTTAGAGCATTCAGTGTTAGATGCAGCGGGAACACTTGTAGATTGATTAGAACTGTTGAAGTTTGCAAATAAAAAAGGGCAACAGATTGGCATTGAGGACGGTGATTAATTATTAAAATGCATTGCTCATGCACAGTATTTCTCCCACCATTTTCAAGGACAGCTGTGTGGTGTGTAGCCAGAGCAGTTGGCCTGCTTAGGCACCCAGTATTGTTTTGTCTCAAATGAGGGAATCACAGGATTAGCCTCTTCTCCAATCTTGTTTGCTCTTATGGTGCTGTCATCAGGAAAGGATAGAATCTGCAGGAACTAATTAAAACTATTTGCAAGAATGGCAGGAGTTTAGTGTTAGGTAACAGCAATAGGAGAGTAGTTGCAAAATATTTGTCACGACTAGTGGCAGAAATGCAAAATTGGGATCAAGCCAAAGACAATTATAACAGTGCCTGATTCAAAATAACTGCTTGCTCCTGAATTAGATGAACCATGTTAACAAAAAACAAAAACAAAAAACCCTTAGCCTTTTCTTGGAAAATGTGGCTTCACCATTTCTGGTGTTTTAGCTTTGTTTGGAGGCTGAATAAAGACAGAGCAGTTTAATAGCAGCCGTTGTCTTTGGATTGCCTGCTCAGATAATAACTTCTGCCAATTTAGACTTTGCCATTGAACTCAGAGTAGAACCAGATCATCTTTAAAAACTTAATTACAGTCTCCCTGAAAAAATAATCTCTTTGCTGATTTAACTCATTGTTTTGAACTGTACCTCCTTCCTTGTCTAAAAACTTGTTGGCTGGTTTTATCCCTTTAAAAAAAAAACATGCTTCATATTTCCACATGGATTAAAACAACTAAGTAGTAGTAAGTAGATTTTCTCACAGCATGAAACAGTCTTTGGGCTGCAGTGTAGTGGAGGAAGAGGAATAAGAGCAGTTTATTCTTCAACTGTGGTGTATCTAGAGGCCATTTTTCATAAACACCTATTTGTTGTAACTAACTGAGCATCCATTTGGATTGTGATGAGATATGAATTTGATAAACATAAACACTATTGCTAATAATAGGTGTAAAACACATAATGGTAGATGTTGAGCATTTGGAAAGAATCCAAGTTGAATTGATCGAACTGAAATATATTCTGTATGTTAGATGTAACTATAACATGCTGAATCCATTAATATCATTCAGATTAGGAAACTTGGGTATTGCAATGCTTGGCAAGTTATTTCCTTGTGAATTCATTCAGCTGGGACAACAACAACAACAATAGCAGGCTTAAGAACAGTATGGGTCCCTCTTCTTGGTTTTGAAAATAATCCCTCCTATAAGTTCTCTGTGAATATTTGCTTTCTGTTATTTTCCCCTCCTTTTTTGAAGCCCCACCCCTCAAAAAAACAAAAACAACTCCACCAGGTATAAATTCAACGTTCATGTCAAAGGCCCAGAACATTCAGAAGAATTTTTGCCTAGTGAAGGGAAGGGGCTGTCCACACTACATATCTACCAAATCTTGGTAATCTGTACAGTTGATGAATGAATTGGGCACTGCCATATATTTACATCATTCCTGTGGTAACTCCAGTATTAACTCCTACTCTGTTTTTCAAACACTGAAGCTGGGATTTCATACAATTTTGACAAAATACAGCACGTTGACTTTCCCTCCATCAATTTAATTTCATTGTTTCTCACCTCATTTTATTTGTTTCTAGTTTTTTTTTTAAATGTTGGTATAATGATGACTAAATCAGAGTAAGCCCTCCATGTCTACTACACAGCCTGGATTATCTGCCATTGACTCCGTTGTGGTTATTGGTCACCTATTTCTCTTGTGTTGATGATTCATTTGTTTGTGCAGCAGAATGGGGCGGAGAGGAAGAAAATGACAAATTCAAACTTGGAAAACATCCCTAAAATCTCACACTGCAATGAGAAGATACTCATGGTAGCTCTTGTTCCCGGACTAAGATTTTGTGGCTATGTTTTTTTCTTAAAGATAAGATAAGATAAGATAACCTTTATTGTCATTTTTTTACTGTGGGCACAACGGCACACATCAAAAATGAAATTTAGTTGCCCGTTCTCAAAGTGAAACACATATGAGTCGAGGTGGCGCAGCAGTTAGAGTGCAGTACTGCAGGCCACTTTAGCTGACTGTGTTCAGCAGGTCAGCGGTTCAGATCTCACCGGCTCAAGGTTGACTCAGCCTTCCATCCTTCCGAGGTAGGTAAAATGAGGACCCATATTGTTGGGGGGCAATGTGTGTATATATATATATATATATATATATATATATATATATATATATATATATATATATATATATACACACACACACACACACACACACACACACACACACACACACACACACACATTGCTTACTGGTGTACACCGCTTAGAGAGTGCTTGCACTTAAAGCGTTATATAAGTCTCATAAATAAATAAATAAATAAATAAATAAATAAATACATGACACACACCTAAACATACTATATACAGCATATGTATAGACCCACACCCCTACATATACACAACAAATAAACATTAAATACTGTCCATCTTGAATATATAACAGAAGGAGGAAGCTTGAGAGTTCACAAGGTTAATGCTGTATGGAAAAAGGAAAAAGTCTTTGGTCCTGGTTCACAATCTAGTACTTTCGAATTGTACAAAACCGGAATTTCATATTTAGGATTGCCAAGAGAAGAAGATTATGAGAGTTTAAGTCTATCATGTTAAAAATTCAGAAATTTGACTCTCCTGGCTTGTGGTTCCTCCCAAACAAAACAAACAATTATTTATCTCCCCTCCTCCCCTCCCCCATCATCTAGACAGTGTTTCTCAACCTTGACCATTTTAAGGCATGTGGACTTCAACTCCCAGAATTCCACAGCCAGCAATGCTGGCTGTGGAATTCTGGGAGTTGAAGTCCACATGCCTTAAAATGGTCAAGGTTGAGAAACACTGATCTAGACCACCATGAACAGCAGCAGTTGATGGCAGTCCCAAGGCTGGGCTTGAAGTCAAGGACCAGGCCTCAACTTCATCTCTAGAACCACTGATACCACTTAAAAAGCTGCCGGTGCTGTTCCCCAAGGCTCGATTGCCTTCATGGCCTAACCGTCCCCAGGATCTGCCACGTGCCACATACTTTCAAGTGGTGTTCAGACCCTTGCAACCTACCCAGAACTGCTCTGGGTCTCACAAGGCCTTCGTTCCTGAAGTGGCTTTGGAGAAAGCTCTTCCACAGCCTCTGCAGCCTCTGAAAATTGCACAAACCACGCCCCATTCTTGTGTGGTTTTTGGAGGCTTCAGAAGCCATGTAAATGCATGGCCCTCTCCCGCAACTTCCAAAGGTTCCAGAGGTCACAGGAAAGTGTACCTCATCCTCACATGGCCTCCGCAACCTTCTGAAAATCACACGAGAGCGAGGCATATTTTTGAGAATAGTTGTTGGTTATTAGTGTACACTAGTATAGATTAGTCATCATTGGCCTAATGCTTTATTATTATTATTAAATACAGATCATATTGAGACTTTAATTTGGATCTGTTGCATAGTACGGTAGCATGATTTTTTTTAACAGAGATTAAACAATATCGTATTTATTTTCTGAAATTACCTGTTCCACGAGTTTTATATGTATATCTGGAAAAATAGTGTCCATTGATGGACTGTGAAAATTCCTACTACATGAGTAGCGATTAGGAAGACTTGACAGACTTGTAATGCTCGATAAACATCTGAAAAATTAATGCTTGAAATACACCTGGAAAAGTACTTCGACCAACTCTGATTCATCCCTTCTTTCTGTTTAGTGATATTCCTCTGCTCTCTTTTTTCTGCCTCATGTTCTTTGGGGATCTCAAGATGATTAGAGGCTACCTTTATGCATGGTTGAATGGCATGACTAGTTGTATGTTTTTTTTAACTTACGAAGCCCAGCTGGCATTGCAGATTGTATTTTGATGACTTGACTAGGAGGGAATTTTGTTCTTCCCTCTAATGTTTGTTTTTATAGCTGTGTGTGAATTGATTGAAGATGCATGCAACGAGGCAGAATTGTGGCCTTGCTTAGGCAGCTGGCTTTTGAGCCTTTTACTTGCTGTGGAAGTGGCCACAGGTACTAGCAATTCTGATAGTTAACTTTCCTAAGAAACTTATTTCTCCATGCCCCTATGCCCTATCCATTTTTTCTCTATTACATACCTTAGCTCAAGAGTTCCCCAAGCTTTCTACTTTTATGGACTGGCAGGGGAGGAAGAGGGGATGGTTCCGTGCAAGCAGCACGCAAGCACGCATACAGTTCCATTGTGCGAGTGGTGGGCACGCACACCCACCTGTACACGCAAATGGAGTGCACACGTGCTTGCCTACTGCTCACACAAGTAGGGATGTGTGTGCACGCCTGCACTCACCCACCACTTTTGTGGCCCGGTTCCGAATGGCTCAAGGCCCAATAGTGGGCTGTGGCCTGGGGGTTGGGGACCCATGCCTTAGCTCTTTGGAATTTTACTTTATAAAAAAATAATAATTATGTGTTACCAGCTCCTTATTTTCTCTAATTTTGTCAGGAACATTCCTTTTCTTAAGTGAGTTCAGAATTTACTCCTGCCGTAGATTGAACAAGGAGGTTGACCCTTTGATATGCTTGAGTATTCTAATTAGCCATATAGCACCATGGAAATTATGTTGGGGACTTAAATATATGTGTGAAATGAAATAATCTCCCCTTTAAGTAACTGATGGAAGCTTTTTGATGAGTTTAAATGCCAAGGGAAGGTTGCAAGCTAGTTCAGCAGTTGCCTCTCACTTTATCAAGCCCATGACCTTCCAGATCCCTTTTAAATGGGCCACAGAAGCTATGATCATTTGCAACCAAACATACATTTCCTCCTGGATTTGTGTGGTGCCACATGCACAATTGATTGCAGAGTATTCCACTGATACCAAACCTCTTAAAATAATTTTTTGTTATTAAGTCCATATGATTTTTCAGGCAATTATATTGGAGAACTCTCAGAGCTTTGGGGTTTCAGAATCAGTATACCTTTATTATGTTATTTTATATATGGCAATAGCTGGAATCCTGAGCATGCTATTAGGGAAGTAAATTGCTTCAAATTTAATAGGGGCCTTCTTTTAAAAGTAATCTATTTAGGACTGAGCTGAGTCAAAGTTGTTCAATCTAAGTTGAAGGGATAGGAAAACACAAGGAGCTCCTCTGATGCATTAGAAAAAAAGATAAATATGTTTTTTTTCCCTGCTTCATTCAGGTCAGAAGCCCTTCCCTTGTCAAAAATGTGATGCCTTCTTTTCTACCAAATCTAACTGTGAACGCCACCTCTTACGCAAACACGGAGTTGCCAACTACTGTCTGAGAAGAAACGGGCTTATCCCCCAGTCTAAAGAAAGTGATGCTGGAGCTCATGATAGCACAGGTAGCTTTTTTAGGTTGTTCCAGAATTTAAAGATAAGTTGTGTTCCTTTTTGCTTTGGGCCTTTAGAGGAATCAGTGAGGCTTTAGAAGTCTTTTCAGGACCTGAGGAATTCAATTAGATGTTAACACCTTGACCAACTGAAGTCTGTTGTGGGGATTTCTCCCCTCTTCAGGAGAGGTGGGAACATTGAAAGTCTCACAGATAGGCAAGAGGGTTCTATGTCAAAACTTGCTCTTTCTCATCTTACACTAGAACAAAGAGATAGGGGCGAGGGTAGTTGTCATTGGTTCTAGATTACCTGTCCGATTAGATAGATTATCAAGCAGACAGGCCTGATAGTAGTTTTACAAATTTTAAATTGTGATGAGATTTGTTACAGCATATATGTACCCTAAGGAGGGATCACTTAGTCTTTTCCACATGTGCTGGATCCTACTCATCCTAATTTTTAAAGAAATTTTATTAAAAATTACAATTCACAATGATGCAAATTTAAAAAAAGAAGAAAAAATAGTATGAAAAAGAAAAAAAAGAAAAGAAAGAAAAAAATAAGAAATAAGTTACAGAAAAAGAAAAGTACACAAAGAAGCGACAAGTTTACTAACTTGTTACCTCCTCCTAAAATATAACAAATGATCTCTTATCCTATCTCTTATCGATAAACAGACCCTTAAAACCTTATCATTTCAGTCCTGATCAGCAAATGTCCATTAAGGGTTAGATGAAATAACAATTTATCTATTTCAACCTTGATCAAATAAACTAATTCCTTTTCCTTCTAACAAGCTTTATCATCAAATAATGGCCTAAAATGTGATTTATTTTCATTTTTTCTTTGCCCTTTCTCACAAAATTCTTCAAAGCTTTAACAAGCCTCTTTTGTATCCAATATAAGAAAATTATCCAGGTCACTCTCTTTGGTTTGTTATTTGTATCCTCCTCTTAATTATTAAGACATCAACCAGTTTCTTTTCTATATCTGGTGTAACTCCTTTTTCCCATGTCATTCTTGTAGCTAGTTATTTTTATTTCCGTTTTCAAATCAGTCTTGATCACATCAGATAATATTTGTTCTTCTTCCATAGCAGCCTTTGTACATAGTCTACCTATAGAGACAGACATCCTTAAAATTAACTTCTGAGGGCATTGTTCAAAAATTCTCTTCAGTATGTCCAATGTTAAAATATTTTGCTTTGTTCAGTATTAGTAAGTTGTGTTTTAATGTTCTCCCCCTTTAATTGTAATCCTTAATTACTTCTCATTTTCTATGATGTCCAGTTTTTAAAGTCAGATCTTACTGTTTTAAGAATTCAAGACGAAAACATTTTTTCCATAAGAAGAACTCCTTACAATTAATTGCAAAATCTTATTTCAAAATTACCTTCACCCTTGGTAAAGATAGATGTTTAACTTACAAAGTCTGTTTGTAACTTTCTAAAATCAAAATTTTAATCACCCCTGTGTGTTTATACAGATTGGTTTATGTCAGTGGTTCTCAACCTTTTTATACGGCGACCCCGGTTATAAGGACGTGCCGCGCATGCGCGGCGGCACCCCCATGCGCGGTGCGCATGCGCGGCGGCGCCCCTTGAGGGGAAAAATGGCGGATCGCGTTGTTTGGCGACCTCCGTAAAATGGTCGTTCGACCCCAAATGGGGTCGCGACCCAAAGGTTGAGAACCGCTGGTTTATGTCCTTAAAACTTGTATTTTAAAGTTTTTTCACTAAGGATTTAAGGAAACTCACCCAGTGTTGTAAAATCCCTTGCATTAAGAAGCAGTTTCCAAAAGTGATTTTAGAAAGGGAAGTATGCAGACCCAGTATCCTTTTAAAGATGACATTTTTGGTTTGGGCCAGATGGCTCATTCCCTTGTCACTCAGAGCTGGAGACACTTGTCTTGCAGCCTCCTCATGGGGAGAAACTATCTGAAGCATTTTTGGGTGATTGCAAGTTATCTCTTTGTCCGTAGAGGAATTACAGAAAGCCAGTCTACTCACTGGCTCTTCAGTCCATTTCAGTTCGCAGTTTTTCTTCCCTGCCAGTCCAGATCTCCATCATGCTAAAGTAAGAAAGCCTTTAGCTCAGTGGTTCTCAACCTTTCTAATGCCGCGACCCCATAATACAGTTCCCCATGTTGTGGTGACCCCCAACCACTTATACATCACTGGGTGCCAGGGGTGTGGCCAAAGAAAAGGGGGAAAAATGGTGAACAGCCTTGTTTGGCGACCCCCGTGAAATGGTCGTTCGACCCCAAATGGGGTCCCGACCCACAGGTTGAGAACCACTGCTTTAGCTGAAAATAGTACAAGACAAGAAATCCCGTGTTTGTTTTCTTAAGAGGATGCTTTGGCTTTTGTAACATTTTGCTAATGGAAATTGGAGGAAACATATCAGGATTAAAGCTACTGTTGATTGTTGGGAACTATGGTTTAGTATCATTAACTAGCTGTTGTTTTTATTTGATTTGGTCTGATGACTGGTAGAATGAGATGGGTAGTTTTGGGAGAAAAGCCTATTTGGCGCAGTCTTCTCTCACTCAGCTTAGTGAGAAGAAGTTCTCAAGATTCTTGTGAAGAGAAGCAGCTATAGCATGCCATGGTTTCCTGTAAGAAAAGCAGAAGATTAATCGGAAATAATAAGTAGAAAAAAGAAAAGTGACAATTTCATAACTTAATAATAGAAAAATGTTAATTTACTGCTACATTCTTTTTTGATTCCTTTGTATCCTTTGAATTGTGTGTTTATACTTCATCAATGCTCTATCTGGAATTCAGTGGATATACATGGAGAAATACACTGTAGATAGTAGGAGAGACCTTTTCCCATTATTAAAACAAAAGAAACAGTCTTCTGAATGTGATGTTTGCAGGTACGTGCTCTTAGCTGCCACCCATGTTCTTGTTTTCACAGTCTCAGGTTGGAGAATTTAGGAATCTGTACAGTTCTAACCATGGATGTTTAATTTTGAGGACTTTTTCCTCTTCACAAGGCAATGCATAAGCTAGAGCAGAAGTCCTCAACCTTTTAGGCACCAGGGACTAGTTCCATGGAGAGAGGTTTTTCCACGGACCAAAGGGAGCGTGGTTCCAAGTACTGCCTGCATCCCATGGATGGGCTTTGCTTGTTTGTGCGGACCATTTTCTGGCATGCCGTGGCCCGGTGCTGGTCCACGGACCCGGGGTTAGGGACCCCTGAACTAGAGTAAATGGACTGAGCCCGTGCCATACAAGGGAGGCAACGTTTGCCTATCAAGGATAAATTTAATCACATCACTGAAAATTAAATAAGATAAGTTTAATCAGCATTGATATGAATTCTTTCATTTGTATGAAAGGGATCTTACCAAAGTGTTCCACCTAGTGGAAGCTATTTGAGATTGGAACATTTAAAAAAAAACCAGAATAAAAAAAATACTATTGTGAAAAATCAGAAATGACTGTAGATGAAGGACCTGCATACTTCAATATTTTAGGTTTATTTTTTGTTTGAACTACAGTAAGGTGCAAATTCAGACAGTGTTTTGCCAGTGTTGTGAGGACACAGATAGCTCACAAATTAAAAGTCATACCAGAACTAAACTCATAAGTCTCTTTAGATAAAATCTATTCCCACTTCCTCCACCCAACATTCTTTATCACCATCCTCAATTAGGGAGGATCAAATGGTTTTAGATGCTGCTATTGTTAGATAATTGGGAATTAGGTATACAATTTACTGCAAATCACCCTGAGATCTAATAGTAGATCCTGGATTAATTTCTGCCTAGAGTTAGTATGCTGTACTTCTTAGTTTACAAATAAAGTTATGAGTCAACAACAGGGAATCAATACAGCATGATGTAAATAACTTGAGAAATATATGAATTAAAGACCTCCCCCCCCCCCAATCCATTCTCCCCAGCTCAGCAGCCCAGAGTTTGCTTCTTTCTTCTTAGCTATTTTCTTATGGTTTCTGAAAATGATTGCTTGCATTATTTGCACATCTTATATGGTGCTGTCAGGAGCATGTGTCATTAGATCTTCACATTCTTGAGTCAGATTTAATAAACTAGTGACCTTGCTACTGTTTTCTCCCTGTTTGGTGACAGAATGAAAAGGAGTCCTTTAGGAACAAAGTGCAACGGCTTATAACTTAAGCCTTTGAAAGCTGGTATGTATGCCTTATATAACAGGCTGTTATGCAAATCATAAAATGCGCAGGTATTTCAGTTAAGACCTGTATGTGGTGCTTGAGAATCTCCACTCAATTAGAAACTTGGCCGTTACAGTTTTAAATAATGAATTGCTGTTTCCACCCCACCTAAGAACAGTTACCTATAAGAAGAACAGATTTTAAACTTTGCTTCCCAGTCAACAGAATTTCTATAAAAGCCATCTATTCTTTTTACTAATAGCAGTACTTCATGTGACTCTCTGCTTACTGAAGGGAGGACAACACAATGGGCATGTATTTATAAAGTCTCTGTGAAAGATCAGGGTGGGGTTTTGCTCAAGTCATTGTAAAAAAAAAAGATAAATGGGCTAAACTGCACATGATTATGAAGCAAGGAGTATTAGGGAGTCTAGCTGCAGATTTATGAGGTCAGCAGTCCATGGCAACCTGCAAAATGCTTTAGAACATACAAAAGATAATTGGATTAGGAAGATACCTTAAGGCAGTGGTTCTCAACCTGTGGGTCGGGACCCCATTTGGGGTCGAATGACCATTTCATGGGGGTCGCCAAACCATGCTGTCCACCATTTTCTTCCCTTTTCCCTAGCTGTCCTACTCCCTCTTATTGGTGGCCACACCCACTTGGGGGTCACCACAACATGGGGAACTGTATTATGGGGTCACGGCATTAGAAAGTTTGAGAACCACTGCCTTAAGGTCTGGTGACTGTATGTATAAATCCTCAACTTCCCCTTGAGTTTGGTGCATAATGTTTAATCATGCAATATAATTGTGGTATAGGTCACAGCTCCCAAGCAATGGTTTGCCAAAGTTGTCATTTCCCACATACAAATTTGGTACACACTATGTATGTTTTGTTTCTACTCACCCAAGCAATCATGGATTTGGAATTTTCCTCATGTTATGATAAGTAAAATAGGGTTCTGGGAATGGTTGGGCAGGGGATAGGACAGATGTGTTACATATCTGTTTGATCTTGGATTCCTTAGTTGTCTGGGACCAAGAATGGATTTCTTGGATTTGTCTTTTTAACTAGAGCCCCCAAATATATGAACTGGAATCAATAGTGGAAAACAGGAAGATTGCTCTGAGCCCCTTTAAATAATCTTTGGTGCCAAAATTTCATATCTGATTCTGCCAAACTTTCTGTTTCAACATTCTAATTTAGGTAGAAGTTACTGCTCTTAATGATGCATAGTTGTACATTACTGCAAATCACTCAAGATCTGCTAGTAGACCTCAATCTATTTTTTGTCCACCAGTCTGGTTGAAACGCTGTAAAATCAAAACATCTATATTCTCAAAACATCCTTAACAAGGGAGGAGTTAAGGAAACCTGGAAAATATGATTCAAAAATTGAGAAACAATAGAATCCATATCTGAAATGATATATTAAAACCACACTTTAATGGGGTGGGGGGGAAATGGGAATAAGGACTTCAACTTCTTAGTAACCAAATCTAGTTTTTAAAATCTCATTTATTAAATAAGGCTTTTCCCAAGTTTTTTGTTGTATTTTGTTGCATGGCCTGTGAGATGTATACAAAGCTTTCATTTTATGGAAGAAAAAATAGGGGTCAAGTACTCTTTCTATTTAAAAGGACTGAGAGTTTCAGTTAATCAACACTGGCTGGTTTATAAATTGAAAAGCTTTTAGGGGACTTCACTGCCTTTTATTTTGCAAGATGGGTTCTTGGCTGTTGACACCATTTGTTAGTGCATTTCATCAGCGCAGTACAATACCATATAGAGAGCCAGTTTGGTGTACAATACCATATAGAGAGCCAGTTTGGTGTACAATACCATATAGAGAGCCAGTTTGGTGTACAATACCATATAGAAAGCCAGTTTGGTGTAATGGTTAAGACAACAGCCTTGAAACCAGAAGGTTGTAAGTCCTACTTCTGCCCTAGACGTGAAAGCCAGCTGGTTGACTTGAAGCCACTCAGTTTCTTTCAACCTGACCTACCTCACAGAGTTATTGTGTGGAAATTAAGAGGAGGAAAGAGTATAGTGTATGTTCGCTGCCTTGGGTTACTTAATAAAGTCATAAAAGTGGGATAAAACTCAATACATATATATGCACACACATATTTTCACTCCCAAGAAATAGTTTGAAAAGTTATTTTTCAGTCTGGAGAAGAAAGCTCTATTGATACTGCTGAACTGCCAAAGAGCACCTGCACAATTATGGAGTTTCCTTTGCAGATGGTCCTTAAGAGTGAAGATATTTGGGGATGTTGGGAAATGGGTTTTGAGCAAGCTATCAAATGCTAGCTTCAAGGGGGAGTTGCAGCACCCTGGCTCTACCCCACTCCCATTGCAAAGACAAAACATGCTTAAGTGCCTTCCTACAGGGTACTTGAATGAAGGTTTCAAACACAGGCCCTTTCCTCCATCAATCAACTGCAGTTTTGTTGATGACACTTTGTTATAAACACATGAATGTTCAGGTTTGATATTCTGGCTCCATTTGTTAGAGTTCTGTCTTTAGCCAATGATATTGTTTTAGCCTGTTTGTATTTTTCCTTTGGGTTTTTTGTTTTTAAATTTAAAATGCCTGCATTTTATTTTTCATGTGTTTAGAACTGTATATAACCTCTTGATTTCTGGCCTGTCTTTGTCTGGTCTTTCAAGGTTGTCCTGTTGACATTCACAAATACAGACTTGATGAATCAGCAGAAAAAGGATTTTATCAACATTCCGACATCCCTTTAATTTCTAAGTGGCTACTGAGCTTTCAAAAACTCAAGCCTTAGACTTTTTATCTAGGGACTGTTAGTTCTTGTAACATATAAAAGGCACTCTAAAAAAGATAATGGCTATGAACACCAAATCTAATCAGGATTACATACCCTATTATGCTGCAACATTAGCTAAAGTTTAGTGGGGGAGAAAGGGGAGAGTTGGTGAAGAAGAAAAAAACTCCACAGCCAGCTAGAACTTTATTAGAAACAATCAGAATGTTACAAAACAGGGTGTGTCATTTTGTACATTAAAGCAGATATTCTTTTGTTCCCTTCATTTCTCTGGTCTTTATATTCAGTCCGATGAAGTCTGCTGACGATAAGGAAATGCTTAATGGATTAGGTTTGCTTCCCATCTTTCCTTCACGCAGTCAAGATGGCACAAATAGCACTTCCTCCTTCAGTTTTTCCCGACAACCCTGTGAAAGTAAATTGTGCTGAGAGAGTGTGACTGATCCTAAGTCACCCAGTGCACTCGCAAGGCTGAAAGTGGACTTGAACCTGCCTTTTCCTAAGCCTGGTCTAACTACTTAAACCACTATACCAGGGGTGGGCAACCTTGGCTCTTTTATGACTCGTGGACTTCAACTCCCAGAATTCCTGAGCCAGCATAGCTGGTTCAGGAATTCTGGGAGTTGAAGTCCACGAGTCATAAAAGAGCCAAGGTGGCCTACCTCTGCACTATACCATGTAGGTAGTTCTTGACTTACGACCACAATTGAACCCAACATTTCTGTGGCTAAGCAAGACAAGTGTTAAGTGAGTTTTGCCCCATTTTATGGCTTTCTTGCCACAGTTGTTAACTGAATCACTGCAGTTGTCAAATTAGTAGCACGGTTGTTAAGTGAACTTGGTTTCCCCATTGACTTTGCTTGTCAGAAGGTTGCAAAAGGTGGTCATATGGTCCTGGGACACTGCAACCGTCATAAATATGAGTCTGTTGCACATAGTCATGTGAATTTTGATCACATGACTATGGGGATGCTGCAATGGTCATAAGTGTGAAAAAAGGTCATACGTCATTTTTTTTCAGTGCTGTTGTATGTCAAGAACTAAGCTTCTTTGCCGCCGCCCCCCTCCCTTTGAAATATTCAAAAGGGTGACTTTGTTTAGACAAACTAAATATATAATCCCTGGGATTTTGGAAGAGATATAATGATGTTGCTATGTGTCTCTTTTTGGGAGTACCAGAAGGAATAGGATTAGCTTGTAAGGATAGGAAAGGAGCACCAATTCTAAAAATAGTCTCCCTGATGTAGTTCAGAGGACACAGGAATGCTAAAAGGGTGCCTGCATCATGGTTTCCATGGACTGCACTTTGATTCAGAAGACTCTAGTGAAAGCCAGTGACTAATTCTTCAGTCAGATGTTGAGGAATATGTCCATAAATAGTCCAGTTGTCCAATCAAAACTTTGCAGAATACCGTTTGTTGTGCTTGCTTCCTCCATTAGATTAAAGGAAATAGTTCGTGAACATGACAAACAATTAATCAAAATTCCGGTAGCTAATAGTATATTCACCTTTTTTCTCCTATCCAGATATAAAACAGCAATAATTTAACTATTTGGAACCAGAATTTCTTTGAGCCTGATCCCATTAATTAAATAGCTTGCTCCGTTGCTTTCACATTTCTGTTATGTCGCTGAGGGAAAAACACATTTGGATTTATTAATCTTTCCAGAATGTCATAGCATATGAAATATTGCACATGAATTGATGAAATTTCTGCACAGGGATCAAGCATTCATCTACCAGGTTCCTGTTTGTGCATTTTTTAAAATTAAGCTGAGGTATTTTGCCTCACACAATTGTCCACAACAGTATTGGATTTGGAATCTAAGCACATTGTTATTCTATATTGCTGAGTGTCGTACATGCAAACAAGACCCTATGCCATTTTTGACTAGAGAGCAGATAAACATATTTGATGATGACATTACAGAAAGCGATGTTGATGAGGCTTCCTTGAGTGCTGAAGAAATCAACATTTCTTGTTCTCTCTTGCAGATAGTCAGTCTGATCAAGAAAATACAAGTGCGGGAAATGAAGCACTCGACTTGACGTCTGGGGAGAGAGAGCACCTAGAGCAAGCTGCCGAGTTTCTAGAAGAGCCGGAGTGCAGTCCCAAAGAAAAGGAGAAGATGGATTCATCCCAAGGAGAGGAGGCTGCACGAGCGAAACTGAGTGAGGGAGAAGATGAGCCAGAAGAAGATTCGGTCAGCAATAAAAGCCTGGACCTCAATTTTGCTAGCAAGTTCATGGAATTCAAGCTGGCTGAGAATGAACAAAACACAGGCAACAGGGCTCAGTCTGAGAATAAACACACCTGTGAAACATGTGGGAAATCCTTCAAATTTGCTGGTACTCTTAGCCGGCACAAAAAAGCCCACGTACACGATGACAGGAAAGACGAAAAGAGCAGTGAGGATGAAAGTAAACCTGTTGAAGGTGCAGACCAAGCCCACGTCCCTGCCATGCAAGAGGACCCACCTCTTGAACAGGAAGAGCCTGGAAAGGACATTAAGGGTGTTGAGTCTCCCACAGACGGCGAGGCAACAGGAAGGGAAAATGAGGAGAGTGAAAGCATCTCTGAGGGAGAAAGCATGGAAAGAAAATCTTCTGAAAAAAGTGATGAAGACCGGAAGCCAAAGCCTGATGCGGGCACTAAGAGTGAATCCAAAGCAGACAAAAGGAAGAAAGTCTGTACAGTGTGCAACAAGAGATTTTGGTCTCTACAAGATTTGACACGGCATATGAGATCCCATACAGGTATGGGTGGGGACCGCTGAGTATTATTTTCAATAATATAATCACTCTTTGATAGAATATATTCAGAGGTTCCAGATAAAATCCATAAGATGTTTAGTTAAACTGAGGAAACTCATTGTTTTTGTTTGTTTGTTTGTTTTTAAACTGGCTGTCTACTCAGAGGCGGCAGAACTAGGCGGGACTGTCAGAATCTGCATCAAAACCTGTTACTGTAAGGCCCGGGTGTCAAAATTGCGACGTCACGTGACGTGTCGCGACATATCGCAACTTTTTTCCCATTACCGGCAATGGGATGGGTGCGATTTTGGCGTGACGCATCCGGCCCATGGGCCGGCAGTTTGACACCCCTGCTTTAAGGGTTTCTTTGCCTTGTGCACTTAGTAATATGTACAACTAACTCCAGGTTTCTGATCCTATGCAGTATGAAATATTTGGAGCAACATAAAGAAGGAAGGTAGCAACTTACAAAAACTTTATTTTAGCATAAAATCACGCTGAGCCCACTTTTGCAAATTTAGGTTAGGATCTTAGACATACTTGTAGTATCTTTGACATGTAAGTAAGATGCACATTCTAGTACAGATGGTTTACCTCAGGTTTGCAGGCCGTTTGATTTCCCTCAGAAGCTCAATGTTTATTGGCAAGTTGGGTATGCATTTCAAGAGATTTGCAGCTTTGCCCAAGGCCACCCAGTGTGAGATTCCATGTGAAATGATGGGAGTTCAGTTGGAATCGAAGGCCACAAAATATGGGAGAGAAAAGCCGGCCTGACAAAATCCCAAGCACAGGTTGTCTTCAGTTTACGACCATAGTTGAGCCTTATGTTGCTAAGGGAAACATTGGTTCAATGAGTTTTGCCCCATTTTGTGATCTTTCTTGCCACAGTGGTTAATGTGAATTGCTGCAGTTGTTAAGTTAGTAATACGGTTGTTAAGTGAATCTGGCTTCCCCATTGACTTTGCTTGTCAGAAGGTCGGAAAAGCTGACTGCAACTGTCATAAATATGAATTAGTTGCCAAATATCTGAATTTTGATCACATGACCATGGGGATGTTGCAGTGATTATAAGTGTGAAAAATGGTCCTAAGTCACTTTTTTTTTTTCAGTGCCCTTGCCACTTTGACCGGTAACTAAATAAACTGTTGTAAGTCAAGGACTGCCTGTATTTACTTTCTCTGGGTTAATTAATATACAGCCCATCTACCTGATTTGTCCCATGTATTCAAGATAACACAGGAGGAATAGAGCAGAGAGATAATATTGCTCCCTTTGCTTTGCTTAAAGTATCTTCAGATTTCGCATGCCTTCAATTGTTGGGTTGAATATACAGTGCTTTTGAAGCTAACATCCATTCTGTAGAAAGTTTAAGTCAAATCTTGTGAAATTCAGGCAGCTGTGATGACAAGGCATTTTTCTTTGCAACCTCAAGAGACACTCTTTCTCTTAAAAAAGTAAAAAAGATAAAACTTAAGGTGAATCTAGAGAAAAATGAAAAACAGTTTAACAATTCATGAAGATTGTTACAATCTTCCATCAAAGACCAAATACTTTACTCCTTTGATAAAAAATGCTTCATTCTTAACTTCCCACTTCTTTTTAGAAAAGGGAAGCCAAATGAGACGAAAATAATGGAAACTCTATATTTTTCCCTTTAAACTCTGAAGCTCTTCCCTTTCCTTATAAGAAGCTAATTTTCTAGTCTCCTTTGTATTCAGTAGAACCTCTCTCTCTCTTTCTCTCTCTCTCCCTCTCCCTCCCCTACTTATCTATCTACCTACCTACCTACCTTATTTAAAAAAACCGCAACAAAACACGGTTTTGTATGTAGATATTAGACATTTAGAAAGGTAAAGTGTGGCATTCAGTTGACGGGAGCAGAGAATTTTTTCCCTGTTCCCATTACTAGGGACAGATGCACAAATCATTCTCCTAGCAGCATTGTTAAGGGACTTCAGCTCTTATCATCAGCAAACCTTGTATCTGAAAGGATTGGGATTAATCAATTTTTTTTTTGTCATAGATCAGCAGATCTATGTACAAACTATAGAATGGTACTTAATTGCGTTAAAAGAAGTAAAATCAGATTGACCTGATAACTTCAGATAAAGTTTTGGAATTTTTAATGTGGAAAGGATTGCGATAGCTGAAATTGAAAACATCTAAAATGCACCCTGTTGCCTTCTCTGATAAAAATAAGACAAGAATGATAGTAATGGCGGGACCTCTACTAAGTCTAAGTGCTATTGCTATTAAATAAACAGTGTGAATTCATATGATACAACTGTCAGGTTAAAGTGGGTTGGGTAAAAATATGCCATTTATGTATGCCTCAGGGGAAATTAATTACATATATCACCATTCATGATAAACATTTCCCCTTTGTCCCTGGTCAGCCTTGCTAAACCTGTAAATGTTAAAAAGGATCTGTCATTGGCCATTCCAACCAAGAAAGAAAGGGAACCCTCTCAGGGATGAAGGAATGTCCGACTTCTGATTTTGTCTCTTTTTTTCCCCTTGATCCCAGGGGAGCGACCGTACAAATGTCAAACCTGCGAACGGACCTTTACTTTGAAACACAGCCTGGTTCGTCATCAGCGCATCCATCAGAAAGTAAAAAATGCCAAGAATCACGAGAAGGACAGCGATAGGGAGGACACCCGTTCGCGAGGGGAAGAAGACAGCGAGAATGAGTCTCTCCCCAGCAGCACAAACCCCATCTCTGAAAACGAGGGCGATGCCCTGGTGGGGCTTGGAAGCCATTCTCCGGTGACCAGGAGCCGCAGAGAAAGCCTGGCCAATGCCACCAAGGATTATGCTTGTAAGGAAGATAAGCCAACTGGGAAAGCCTCTAGTCTAGGCCTCGCTGAGGCAAGCAAGAACATGCAGAAATCGACAGCGAAGGAGCCGGAGTCACGAGGAAAAGCCGATCGTGGAAGCTCCCCTGACTTCATTCAGGACTTGCTGGAGACCCAGAACAAGAAATCCTCCATGAGTCATATCCTCGCCTCTGCAGAGAACGCGCCTCAGCTCTTGGAAGTTGAATGACAGCTATGGCTTCCGCGGCACCTCTGCAACATTGATCCAGGACACAGGAACGAAGTTGTCAGGGCGATAGCTTTCCTTTGCTGCTGAGTCAACCTGCTATGGTGACCCAGGAGTGGGCAGTGGGCTGGTGGGATCGGGGGGGGGGGGAAAGTATGGCCGTCTGGATTCAGTGCCATAAGCCCTTCAGTATAAATAATGCAAGAGACTACAATTATATACTGGTCTGAGTGCCTTACTACTTTATTAGGTCTTTTGGTATCGTAGATATTTTTTAAAGCAAATTAGATGATTTTTTTTTTAAAAAAATATTTTAATTATTTGGAGAGGACCTTTTTCATTTAAGCATTAATGTTACTTTTTTTTTTTTTTAAATCCGGGTGTGTGAGTTTGTTCTTGTATATCTGTGATAGCCGCTTTTGTGTATTCTCTGAGCTGGAAACAAGGGGGGGGGGTTCAGCGGTGCAAGGAAAGCCCTAAGAAACTGCAGCCAATAACTGGAAGAAATTTTAAGAAATCCCAAGCAGAAGTAGTAGATATAAATGGCTAATTTGTTTTGGGTTTGTCTTTTCAGACCTTTTCTTTTTTTTTAAATCACACGAGGGAGAGTTAAAGCAGTTCAACACATTAACATTAATTAAGGTTTTGGAGCTTGGTTCAGGCTAAAAGCAGGAAGCCACAATTACTGTTATCTTCATTATTTCTTCTATTTCTTCTCCTCCACTTCACATGATCAGTGATGGCATTCTAGCTACTGTCATTTTGTATAAAACCCTTTCCGACCATTTGTGGACTTAAGAGAGCATACAGAAAGGGTGGCATAGTGACTTAAAAACCTATGGAAAATATGCGCCCACTGTTTATGTTTATATATGTATGTGTGTGTATATATACACATATATATGCATACAGTTTGTGTGTGTGTATATATATATATATATATAAATGTTTGATTTGTGTTTCAATATATTATTGTTTTAATATTTTATAAAAGTTGTTAGTTTGCTAATCTCTGCATTCTGCAGAAACCAATGGACAATATTTGTCCACGGAGATCTACACCACAGCTTGGATTGCGTGCTTAGATATTTCTGCCTAATCTCTCACTGACTTTCTTTTGGGGTTTCCCGCTCTTTTAATATGTATTCATTAAAAACCTCTTAGCATCAAGTGGAAAACAGCGAAAGCCCCATTCACGGATCAATCCAGGTGGACTTAGAATAAATTTACATGGAGGGAATAGAAAGAGTGAATACTAAAGCAGTGATCTTCTCCCAATTCCTCTGGGTTCATACTGATGATACATAAGTAAGAACTGAATGTCTGATAAATGAATTTAGGAAAACAAGAGTCCTTACTGGAATTGAAAGTTCATGCCAGAGAGGGTTGTACCTATATCTTCTTTTCCCCACACACCCAATTGAATGCATGTAGTGTAAGTTGCTACTGTGTGTCCACTTCTGTTTCCCATCCAATCATACAGTTGCCTTCAATTTCTTGTGAGCGATTGTGTCAAACGAACCCCAGCAGATAAGGGGGTTCAGTGTGAGCTAATAAAAGGGAGAGGAGTCAAATAAATTAATGGCAGGCTGGCATGAAGAGTTGGAAGAAAGCTATCCAGACTTCATGTGAAAAGCAGTGCAAATGCCGTGGCGTAATTGGGAATTGCAGTAGTTGCATTTTTTAAATTAATAACTAAGCTGATGTAGTCTTCCAGAAATAATAGAGAAAAGTGAAAACTTTTGAAGCCTTAAGTGATCTTACTACCTTAATGTGCTTTAAAGTAAGGAAATAGTCTACTACTGGCAATAAAGTTTCCAGATGGACAAAAGTACTTTTTTCCCCAAGGTTTCTAGAGGCTTTTCCAAATGTTTAACTCTGTTCTGAGTTGGGAATGGACTATACATTCCTGTTGCTGGCAACAGGACCTAATGCAAATCCACCAGCGTTAAGGCTGATCCACTGACTAGTTAAGCTGGTGTGTTAGGTTGTAAGGTTCATTTCTTCTTTGATGTGAGGCCCATTTATCTTGACAGGAAAAAAAATAACTAATTGCCCTCTCCGTGTATGTGTGACTTGTGCATATGTGTGCAAATATGGCTGCATCGCTACATTCCTATATTTCAATTTTAAAGATACAAATGCAGAATTGGATTTGGAAAAGACAGCTGACAATTTCGCTTGTAGTTCTGTTACTACTAACGTGTGACCCGCACACTATGTTGTTGCTGTTATGTTGCTAGTTCTGTATCCAGTGTGAAAAAAGCTCGTGTTTTAGGATGACTATCCTAATTCTGTACCCTCATCTTAAAGATGGAGGAAATTTACAATTATTTTCCAGTTCTACGTGGTTGTGAACCCAGTTCTCAAAGCGATCTCTTTTTCTCTTCAAGGGCCTTTTGGCAAGAGACAATATGTCTCTCTGTGTGACAGATCCTCTTTTTATAAGTAACCAGAAACCATGCATAGGTGGGAGTCTGCTGAAGTAGTCCTTTGCCTGCGATCCACATACTCTGATTCAGACTGAGTTGTGGGCCAGGAATGACCATTCACTTGGAATACTTGTGGGACATATATATATATAATAGGGCAAAGGCATCGTATTTCTGGGATCTTTCTGTTATTCTTTCACATTGAACCTCTTTTGTTCATATTATTTTTTTTCCTGCCCTCTTAATTTAAAATTGTTAATCCAGGGTGGAAAAAAAACAGTGGAGTTCCAGATTGACTGGCTTATAAACACCCAAGCATTCTTAACCAGTGGCTGTTGTAACTTGGAATATTAATTTAATTTGGAAAACCAAATTTGGTCCACCTTGTCCTAAAGTGATACTCTGTGCAAATAGCATTGAAAGCAAATTAGAAACAAGTTGATGTTACATAGAAATAAAGTAATATGTAGATCCTGAATTCTCGGTCAAAATTGGGAGTATTATACCAACCTATTTCATATTTATTATTTTTTAGAGATTCAACTCAGATTGCAGAGGAAGAGCAAGGAGATCATTTTGGGGCGATAGTATTTCATAGAGAATGTGAAGCACAGATTTCATTGTATAAAACAGTTCTGAAACCAATCCTCTGGATTATTAAAAATAAATACCAATGGTTTCTTTCAGAATATAAAATCATTTGCTAAATGATGCTTTCCATCAAAGTCAATTTCAGCATCCCTTAATATAAATTGCTATTATATTATTATTATTATTATAATTATTATTGTTATTTGGGAATATTTTGTTATTAATTTGAGGGTTTTTTTTTGCAGCTCTCCACACTAAACTGCGCAATATTGTGGGGGAGAAGCCATTAATTAAATCAGGAGTGTCAGAACTGCCCTCAGACTGAATGGGTCATTCTGCAGACCTGTTTAATCTCTTGACCTTTGTTTGGGGAGGGTGTGAGTCTGACAGATCTGAACAAAACTTTATGCTGCAGAAATAATGTAGCAAATAATATCCCAGCACCCTGCCGGGACATCTGCTAGCAATAATCACTATTGATTTAAAGCTTTATTTAGTCTTTATGTATATCGTAGTATATAAAATCTTGCCACATTTTATTGGTGTTTTTATTAGTTGCATTTGATGGAAGAAGAAAAAAATGTGTTCCCTTTTGTTGTTTCCCCTCCTCACATTCACAATCCCCCCTTATATTAAAACTGTGAACTTTATAATGTGTTTAAACAATGGGTGAATCTTAGGCTTAGTTTGCATGTTGAGCTAGTTCATTTCTCTGCATCTTCCTGATTTTTTTTTCCTTCTCCCTCCCCTTTCCTCTCTCAGGGCTTTTTAAAAATCTGAAAATCTCTTGTTGGACTTGTAAAGGAGCTAATGGTGAAAATTCAATCACTACAATAAGCACTTGACTGTGAAAGTATAAAAAGAACCAAGAATAAAAATAGACCTAACATGTGCAGCAATAACAGCACTACTGATGTAGAGCTAGCTCTCTTGATGGTTTAATTCCAGCTTCCCAAATGATTTTAGTAGTCGTTTTCTTTCTACAACCTGATCCTCAGTTTTTCCATCAACGCCATAGACTCTGTCGGGAGTACCTTGCGTGTTGCTGTCTGCTGTGTTGGTCGGACGGTTGAATTGTGAAATAATTGAGAGTAGAGCCGACACTGCCTTAAATCCTCTGGTTTCTCAAAGCCAAAAAAGATCCAGAAAGGAAGTAAGGGCAATGAGCTTGCATGAAGTAATAAATCCCTTACCTCTGTGTCCTTCAGCTCAAGGTGACACTATCATGGTTTTGAGGAGGTAACTTATCCATTGAGGATTCTCCCTTCTGGTTAATCAAGTTTGGTTAGTATTGATGGGGTGGGGTGGGGGGGAGTATGTCTCTCTCTTCCCCATTCTCTCTTCACTTAAGATGGATGTTTTAATTCTAAAAGTGTTCAGCCCGTGCAAGAAGATAATTAGTGTGTACAATTTATATATAGAAATATAGATATATATATATTTTCGAAAGGGAACGTTTAAAAACTGCTGCTACAAGTTGTGTACAAGACTGATTTATGCCACATGAACAGAGAATCACACTATTTCTTTGGGTACTTCTATTCTTCTCATTCAGTTGTATGTTACTTCCAGATTCAAAGTGATGAAAATAATGCTGTTCTGTATCAAACGATCTACGCAATAAAAGGTTATATTTAAAAAGAAAATCGTACACTTGGAAGTTGCAAAACAATTATCTTTTCGAGCACTTGGGAATCTCTACTTTTGTGCATTTTCAGTGTGGATTATTTTTGAAAAGCAAAAAAACAACAGAGAACAGTCCCAATGAACTCATACTTGTTATACTTGCTCTTTTTCCTAATGTCTTACTTTGTCCTCATCCAAAGATTTGTACTTAACAATTAGCTAACCTGTTTTTTTTCCCCTTCACATTTGCCCGTGCTTAGTGCAAATAGTTACCTTGCCAGTGCAAAGGCATAAAGAGTGAAGATCTTTTAATTCTTGAATTGAGACATACACCACATAAGGTATGCACTGTACAGAACTCCTTTCCAAAGATGGGGGTGGGAAGTACAATAACACTTCATAAATGGGGACATGACCTAACGCAGTGTTTCTCAACCTTGACAATTTTAAGGCATGTGGACTTCAACTCCCAGAATTCCACAGCCAGCAATGCTGGCTGTGGAATTCTGGGAGTTGAAGTCCACATGCCTTAAAATTGTCAAGGTTGAGAAACACTGACGTCCTAATGTAACATCTGCATCTCTTCTCAGAGTTTAAGGGAAGGGTGGATTGTACATATCATCTTGATATTGTAGCAGTGTTTCACCACTGGGTGGCACAGTTGTAAGAACATGGAACCCTGGAGAGATACTAGAAGCATCATCTCCAGAGTGATTACTTTGCTTTTAAGATCTAATGAGTGAGTAAATATTTGCAGCGTTCCCTAAGCCAGATTCATTTCAATGTGCAAGAGAGACAAGTGGGCAGATTTCCCTCCTCAAAATGATTTGACACAAACGCAGGCAGGAGTATTTTATTAGACATATGTTTCTAATTCCTGTGATTGGGAGCTGTCCTGAGATTCAACACTGATGGAAAAGGAATTATTTGAAAGCTGCAGCCTGGGGAGGTGAGCAAGAAGAACCAAAAAAGAGAGAGAAAACTGTGACGGGATCTCTAGTGCATGTGTATTTTAATCTAGATGGAAAAGCAGGCTGTGGAGAAAATCGGGCATTTGAAGTCTTTGGGCTCTTAATTGGATATGATGAATATGTTTCTGTTCCTAAGCGAAGTAATTATAGAAGGAAATGGATAAATGTTTTCATATTTCAAAAAACTGCAGCATACCCCGTTAACGGAAAATTGTATAGCGTATTCTTCATTTTTGCAAACTCACTAGTGAGCATGAATCGAGCAAAGCAGTGTGTATCCTTAGGACATTTCTACGGGTATTTTGAGAATATCACTGACACCTGAAATGGACTAATTAACCTTTTTTTTTTTTTGTGAGGACACTGGCTGTATTTCAGAGGAAACACGCATAAAAGATTTCTACAAACTTTAATCTCTGGTCATCTAGAGGCTGTTGTCCACAGGTTTTTAATCCCAGTTTCAACATTCCCACAATTTTTGTTCAGGAGCCATATAAAAGGATGTGAAGAAAGTGAGAAGGCACCTGCAGGATCAAGAATACCACAGATGACACTTGTGATGTTTCCAACAGCTGCATTCTCTTGCTTTTCTTACAATACTCAGCCTGACAAAAAGTTTGGTTGTCAGTTCTATCAACAACCCTGAGCTCAAGTTCAATGATCCTGGTTTATAGTGCTCTCTCTTCTGGTATCTCTTAAGAGGACATAGTCACACAGAGTCATTGTTGAGTTCCTATCAAACTCCAAAGCCTGGTTAAATTGCTCAAGCAGTCCTCATTCTGCTTGGAGCAGAATTTTAATTTTTTTTTATTAAAAAGTTTTATAAAAATTACAGTATCAACCCACCCCAAACCCTCCCCTCTCCCTCCCCCACTTCCCAGAGCTGAATACAGGGTTACAAATATGATAATCATAATCTAACTAACCTTACCAACTATATAAATAACCAAATCCATAATGCACTTTAACTCCCCTTTAACATAAATATAAACAAATTAAAAATGAACATAATAATAATGAGAACATAAACAAATTAATATCCTAATTATTAAACAATACAGTCCCCAAATAGTTAAACAATGCTAATACTAAAAATAATAATATCATAATAATACTCTAAAATTCACTCATAAACTAAATGAAACTTTTTAGTCCCATATTTATTCTGAATATAGTTTATCCATCTTCTCCAGACTGAAATGTATCTTTCTTGTGAATGATCTTTCAGATAAGCAGAAATCTTAGCCATTTCTGCTAAATTTGACACTTTAAGCGTCCATTCTTCTAGAGTAGGCAAGCAATCCTTCCAATATTGCCCTACTAATAACCTTGCAGCTGTTATCAAATTCCAGAATTTTAATTTTTAACATTGCTTCTCATCATAATGGGTACATATAGATTGCAAAATAAATCCCCATTAGAGTTCTCACACCTCTGCCTTCTGGCCCCTTTCACAAAGCTCCCAACACCCACTACCTCTTCTGTTTCTCGTTGCTCCCACAGCTGGCATGCTTGCCATCTTCAAAGTGTCTGGAACCCATCATGGATTTCCTGACAGGCTCAGCTTGTTACTGGATTTCAGGATCTGGGGAGAGGGTGACTTCAGAATGCCCTCCCCGTTCTTAGTATTTTTGTACTTTTGATGTGATTTCCAAAGATGGTATTTCTATGCTGTTAAACGGCAAATGTGTCTTTAATCCTAAAGTAAGTTCTCATTTTTTTAAAAAAAAAAATAACATCCACCCAATAATTGAAATTAAAAAATGAAAACTATTAGTTTTGCAAAATGGAATAAAATCAGGGAGTTTTTTTTTTTGGAACCGTCACGCTTTTGCTGAGCCTTGTCAGACATGCAATGTAGGAGATGACCAGGCTGAGCCTGAGGGAGGGGTCAAACAGGTCCTCAGTCATGAGTCCCTTCATGCCCATAGGAGATCTAAGTGTAGCTCACCCTGAATTCCTGTGACTTGCCGCCAATTTCCTTGGATCATTAGTAGTTCAGATTCTTGTAGAGAGCTTAGGCTTTAATAAATCTTTATATTCATTCGAACTGCCTGGATGTCCTGATTTCCCTGGCACTTCACAGTTACCCCCAATCCTCAGAAGATGTTGCCCAACCTGCTGCAAGAAAATACACTATATATTTTTAAATGGCATATAGTACATGCAATTCCAGCTATTGTTTGAGATTGAGACTATGCCACTGGGTTTCATATGGAATATACACTCTGAAAAAAATCCCTCGCCTTCCATGTAAATTTTTATGGACATGACATAATATAACATCTCTAGCTCTCTTCTGTGAGAGCTTAAAGGAAGATAGACTCTGTACAGTGTAGCATTCTGATAAGACACTAGTTCAAATATGAAAGTGGATGTATCTTCCTTAAGTTTGGATCTTGGAGGAGTGTCATTATCAATACAGAAGGTACTGTCCTGGCCAGTATTTCCTTAATGCCTACGATGATATTGTTAGACTTCGCTGTTGTCAAGTTTATATAAATGGGTTGACACTGCAGAGAACCTTTGCTGATCTTGAGGTAGTACACAATTTTTATTATTCCCCAACCAATCATGATTGACAATAAATGGGGACTGAAGTCTAGCAAAAGAGGAGTCCCAACTGGGGGAAGCACATGAAGGAAAGAAAGAAACTTGATGGGATTAGTAAGCAGTGGATTTAAGACAGAGTAAAAAGAAGCAGAATTAAAAACAGTAATGCAACAGAGAATGAACTGCCTGAGAGACTGATAATAAAATGTGCTATATTAATATATCACCATGATTTCTAGCCCTGCCTTAGGCACAAAGCCAAATGGGTGACCTTGGGCCAGCCCCTTTCTCTCAGCCCTAAGAAAGAGGAAATAGTAAACCATTTCTGATAAACCTTGCCAAGAAAACTGGGGATGTCTCCAGGCAGTTTCCAACAATTAGACGTGATTAAATGGAAAAACAAAATACATCATTTGGGAGGTTAATGGGTCAAGAGCAATTCAGAACAAACTTCTAAGTCAACAACTAAATAAATGGAAGCTCAGATGGGGGACACAAGAAGCATGTGGTTAAACAATACCGATCTATTTTGGATCCTGGAAAATTCAGTTTCTTTCTTGTTATCATTGGCTTGCTTACATTGAACAGGTTTGTAGAAGTTAGTACATCCTTTGTTTTAGCAGTTCTTCAGACATGAACCAGAACAAAGATCTTGACCTTTGAAAATTAGCTATTATTGAGGAGAATCATATAGCATTATATCTGTAGTTTCTTGGGATGCCAATAGCTGCGCCTTTATTGTACTCACCCTTCTCTATATTAATGGCATAGCTGGCCTGGCTAGTACCTTTGGATGGGTAATATCAGAAGTTATTCATGTGGAAAGAAGAGGGAAAGGTAATATCCATTGCTTCTTACATATTTAGGGTATATCAGTTCTCCAAAATTCATCCTTCCCACTTACCTGAATTTTTCCACTTGCAGCATATATTTAGTATTTGTTTGCCTACATAAAGCATGAGTGTAATATCTCTAAATATCTCTATGTAGGCAGATTGTAAGTTTGACTGATTGTGTTGTAACTCCCCTTTTAAGCATATGACTCTTCTTTGAAACTTAGTCAGTTTCAGTTCCCATTACCTTCCAGATTTTATATCAAGAATTAATGTGACTGACTGCAATGCAGTCCATGTAAGTGTGCATCACGTTCATGAGGAAGTCCCAACTGTGCACCATCATTGCCAGTCTGTACTCTCCTCCCCACCCCCTAGATTTTAGTACAATGTGGAATTAAATAATTGCACATGTTTACACTGATCCTGAGTAGTGTGCTATTGGCAGTTACTTGTACATGATGAAATATGAAAACTAAGCCACAAAAGTCACAAAAAGATTTAGTAATCTGCCCACATATATAACTATCTTATTAGTTTAACAGACTGATGGAGTTGGAAGAAACCTTTGAGGTCATCTAGTCCAGCCCCCTACTCAGGCAGGAAACCCTATGTACCTTTTCAGACAAATGGTTGTCCATTCTCTTTTTAAAAACTTTCAAT